GTTCACATAGCGATAACAAATTACTTTATTGCTTCCTTAACGTTTCTACAGGCTATCTTCACTTTGACATAATTTAAGTGTATAAACAATATTTCAACACTAATTCCACAACTAAATGTAGGCCTAACCTGAAGTACAAGGTTTTTAGTATAAACTACGAGACACACACACATATATATATATATATATATATATAACTTAACTAACTTTGTTAGGTTAACAAACATGTAACTCACCAATTAACTGAATAATAAATAGCAAAATAGACGCAATGACTTTGTGACATTGAACTGATTGACTGGTTACTGAATTCTTAATAACTTCTCATTAAATACTTTATTTTAACGGGAACTCTAAAATCACTTAAGTCGCTGGCACATACGAATTTACAACTGATGTACCCATCAAGATCTTAATCGAATTTACTTGATTATAACCTTGTGCGCCCTTTAGCTAACTTATAAGTTAAAACGTTGAAAAGTTAGCTTATAACACTATCTACATCATTCTGATCAATTCCAAATTTTGCCATAGAGTTTTTTGAGTCAGGAATAACGCAAATTAATTTTATCGTAAGAACAGAATAAAATATTTTTTAAAATCTCGTACATTTGATACTCTTCCACAAAAACATTTGCCAATCGCACCCTTTGTTAAAGACCCAATGCCCATTAAAATTTTGCTTACCTTCAATATACTTAAAAATAACTTACCGTTTTAGATTGAAAATTATTGGTGAGCTGTTTTTCACAAACTGTTTCTCATTTCCTAAGTTTTTAAAAATTCTATTAGATTAGGGAACAATGTTAGTGTATTGCTAAGCGCAAAGCTACACTATGAGCTATACGTTAAAAGTCCCTCAAATTTGACACTGAGCCACAGGAGGTCACAATGAAAGGACAATTTGTAAAATTGAATTTCTTTTAAACCAGATATGTAGCTTTCTTATCTTTAAATTTAAATTTCTTGACAGGAAATAATACAAATGATATGTTCAATTTTTGCAGAATAAATATAAAAGATAGTTATATAGATTCATACTTAAAATCGCCATCTAGCGTCAGTACTTTAGTGTTAAAATATGGCGATGTTGTATGTTGCGAGAACTTGCGGAAGGTATTTGAATTTAAAGTATTGTTAAATTTTAAAATATAAAACTTCTAATGCTGTTTTACACCTTACGTTTTTCAGGAAAGCGTAGAGTCATCGAAGATATGTTTCGTAATATAAAAGTTATTTTATGTTCTTTACAGGCCAGTAATATGTAGTGTGTTTAAAATTAGATTTTATTTTTAATGTATTTAATTCTAAATAAATACGCTCTTGACGTCGTGACGCGTTTGTAGTAGTAGTACTAGTACTAAGTAAAATAGTAGTAGCCACAATAGTGTATTAGTATTACTATTATTATTGGTGTCGTAATAATACTGGTAGTTGAGGTAATGGAAGTGATGAACATGGAATTGGAACTACTATTAGTATTACTAATACTAATAAGTTCCAGTTTTGAGTTATTCATTGTTAATGTTATTAACAATTAATAACAGTCGTTACAGTGTTAATGTTATGATGAATATTTGTAAGCACTACCTAGTGATAAACATAGTTCTGAAAACTATACTTTTATATACTGAAGTTCATCTGAATTAGCTAGAAGTAGAATGAGAAGTGAAGGTGAAACTGAAAGCCTATTTGAGTTGTTGAACCAATGTTACCTTTTGTTGCCATGCAGGTGAATTGTTTTAATGATTAAGTTTTGAGTATGGTGCTTGTGGAATTGTTATAACTTGCAAATTTTTGAAAGAAGACTTGAACATAATGTTTTTGTTGAAATCAATGGGAGTTGTAGAGACAATAAGAATCATATATAAAATTTTTAAAGTTAACTTCCAAAACTCTAAAAGCTTTTGTGAGAGAAAAATTTTGGGTGGCTAAAAATGAATAGAAGAACATTAATATAAATTAAGTTTAGGATATTTTGGTAGTTTTTTCAGCTTAGTTGAAAAGGATTGTATTCATTCCAAATGTCAGCATTATAACTGAAAATAGGTAAAAAAAATTAAAGGTCTAATAATTGTAAAATTCCAGCTCAAATTCTCTTGTAAATTGTAATATGAAATATTTTGATGTTTAAAAAAAAATTAATAAACTGGGGTTGTGAAATATTTGAAAAAAAATTTTTGAAGGGACAAAATGCTTGAAAAATATAGTTGTTCATATTAAAAATGTACTTTCCTTTTTTCTTTTCCCACAAAGCAAAGAAATAAAGCTTTAGGATTTTGCTTTTATTTAACAATGAGAAAAATAATTTTGGTATTCACTTATTGAGAATGTGAGATAAAATTCACTAATAACCCAGATATTTGCAAAATTTCTTAAAATGTGAAAATATAATATTTGTTTGTTATTTTAATATCTATATTAAATGCTTTATTTTGTAGACATAGCACATAAGTACCTTATATGGATGCAGATTTTTTTAAGGCTATAAATATGTTTTTAAAAATTGTCTGATTCATAAAATGCTAAACACTGAAATATTCTTTTTTACTATATTCTCTGTTTTTTTGGAAGCTGTTTGATTTTTGTATGAAATGAATAATCTAAATGCATGTGAGGATTAATAATTTTATTTAAAATATATATATACAACTAGCTTAGATGAAAAGCTGTATATTCAATTTTGAGAAAAATCAACTACTTTTTTTGCAGCTTTCACAAAAAATGCTGTGAAATTAAAAAAAAAGTTACTTATAAAAGATCATTACAAATTATTGTATGAAGACCTAAAAATTTTATCATTTCTTTAAAATTTTACAGAATGTATGCTATGTTTGTACAAAACACTGTATGTATAGGTTGTTTTAGTCAAAATACTGCATATCCATCAATACAATGCCATAAGCAGCCAAGTTTGGTCAGGAATGACATATACTGTATTTTACATCTAAGCTTTTTTAATACATAAAGTCATTCATACATTTTATGGCTTTTAATTAGCTATTAGGATTTTACAGCATGCCATATTAAATATCTTCGTATAAAAATGATAAATTGTGGTTTACATTAATGTTACCATGAAATAACATAGTGTTTGATATGTGTTTAAAGTTTTTGGTAATTTTTATTATGTTATGTAGTCAGTCTTCTTAGATCTGGCACTCAATCTTAACTGGTCTCCATATGCAGACAAAAACAATGCAATTATATGTTGTATTAATTTTAAAATGTTTGTTACTATGTGTGTGTATGAGATTGGGGATTTGTGAATTAAAAGTGATTTGTAAGATCACCTAGAGGCAGACTGGGTGGTATTACTATACTATGCTATACCACTATCATGAGTAAAACATTAGGGGATCCTGCCCATCATTAGATTGAATAAATCAGGGTCGGTTTGCTTTTAAACATTTAGAGGCACCAACTTACTCGTAATACCGGCTCAGATTTGAGGCTTTGCTATCCAGTTGAGGGTGGCCCTTCTTTTTGATCAGTATTGATTCAGTACATTGTTTGTAGAAGAGGGTCCACCGTCTCGTCATAATTCCAAATGCAGAGTGGTCCCATCCCAGGTCCTTGATTGAGCACGGTTTGTTCCAAATCCTCCCCATAATTCTGGGGACAAGTGGAATTTATCTTGACCACATGGTTTGGGAATGAGGTTGAGTATGTCATAGAGGATTCTGTTATTCTCAGTTTGAGGTGTTGCTTTTTGGACTTTTTCAGCCTGATGAGAGGGTTTGTCCACTTCAGTGTTGCTTATCTACTTGTAGTGATTCCAGTGGCTTGGAATGCATCACTCTAAAGCTACAGGTTGGGATCCACTTACAAGTATATATATTGCGGTCCAAATGTCCTATAATTCCAATCCATAGTGGAACTTCGGCTGTCTGGTTGGGGCGTGGCCAATAGTGATGATGGATCATGTCAAATTCCACCAACAGTGCATGAATTCAGTTCCAGGTGAAGAGCATACCTGTTCTGGATGTAGTGTGGTTCTCCCGTTAGGGTGCTAATCTTCTGTTGCCATACCCGTGATCTATGCAGATGCATTCTGTATGGATAATGCCCTCACTGGTCCCTCCACTTTATCAATGTGGTGGTAAGTATGTTTTGGAACTTAACATTTTCTTAAATTGAAAATGTATTTCCAATAATACTTTCTCACACACTCTCCCGCTCTTCCTCCCCATTAAAAGCCAGTGTTAAAAACCGTGGATTGAATCAGTCTCGAAAAAGTGATAATTTTATCTAAATGAGGTGCTTATATACAGTACCAGGATAGAGATTGCGTTGACATAGGTTTAGAGTGTTACGAGACAGATATTGTCAAGGGCAGTAAGATTAATTTGGAAATAAAAGACTGGAGCTAGCAAGAAAAAATTAGACCAATGCTGAGATGGGTAAAGGAAGGAAACCTTAGCAGTTGAGTAATAGCTATAGTGTGAAAGGAGGCAAGTATTATTGGAAATACATTTTTGAATTAAGAAAATATTTTAACCTTTGAAAGTTTTGTAAAAGAGATGCATTTAACACTGTACATGGTGGTTTTACTTTTTTAATTCTGTATATAAGGTTGAATGTCTTGTAACAATGATTTTTTGTAAACATAGAAAATGATTAAAATTTTATAACCCAAGCACTTTTGAAAGATGGACCTTCAGAGGCCTCTGGAGAAGAAAGGTCTACCTTTCAAAAGCACTTGGGTTATATGGTTTTATCATTTTATATTAAGATTTCTTGAACCTACATTTTTTCTGATATCACAAATTTTTTTAAATAGGTCATTGAACTTCATTGCAGTTCTGAAGAAGAGTAGCATTTTGAAAAACTGCTAATTTTGTGTAGCTTTGAAGAAAAATATTTTAAAGAGTACATGGTGTATGAAGACTTAGTTATGGAAAAATTATAAAAATGGTTTTGAAGGATATGATTTTTTTATAAGTAGAAAGTGATTTTGATTTTTTAATTTGATTCAAAAAGTAATTGGATTACTAAGGATGGAAGACAGTGAAAAAGTCACTCAAAATCAGGACAGTTTTATTGAAAATGCTATACATACCAAACAAACTAGAAGAGAAGGAGAGAAAACCAAAGAACTTGATAAGGGTTCCAAGTGTTATGAAAATGAGCGAGCTTCTTTAAATAGAACAAACCAGTCTGTAACCCAGAGTATAGTGACTAGAGGCAAAAAACCTGATTTTCAATCATTACTGAAAGGAGGAATTGCCACTGCTATCAAAATGAAAAAATCATCAACATCAGAAAAGCAAACTCTGGAAGTTAATAAATCTGCAAATGATAAAGAACATCCAAAGAACACTTGTACTTCACTAGCTTCTAAAAAAGGTGTAGGTAAGAAGCCGGACAGATTCCAACAGGAGAAGGACGAACATAACCAGAAGGACTTTGCATGTGATGAACAAGAATCAGTTGTATCCAGTAGAGATGAGATATCTTTTGACGAGAACACACAGGACAGCTATGGAGAAGGATCCCTGTGTTCAGAATCTTTAATTGATGGTGACCAACACAGTTGTAGACAAAGGAGGTGTGACTCAACTGAAAAAAGGGAGAATTTAAAACAGAAGTCTAATTGTAGTTTCAGAAAATTGAGTAAACAGTGTAATGTTAAAGCTATCAAGGCTAAAAAGAGGAAACGTTCTTTGTCTGTAAGTTCCCAAGGATCTGACCGTAGTCATAAAGATGGAGAAAGGCCTTCAAAGAAGAGGAAAATTCCTAATAGACCTGGTATTGTCTTTGAACTAGGTGCAAAGCTTGAAGCCAAGGATTTTCAAGATAAGTGGTAAGTTGGCCGTCTTGTTATTTGTTTGTAATGGAAGGGAAAATACTAAACCAGACCTCTGTTGTATATCTTAATTGAACAGACTTACACATTCAAAAGCATTTGTTTTCTTGAGGCTTGTTGGTTCATTTCTGCTATCTATATTCAAGATGCTTTCTTTGATTCTCAAAAATCTTAACACCTTTGTCTGGCCTAATTATTTTGAGTTTCTGTTATGCTTAAGTTGGTCAACAAAAATGTTGATGAAAATGTTTTTTGAATTGATTTTAAATTTAGTCAACAGTGAAGAAGAGAAGACGAGAATTATTTGGTATGACTAAGAGAAGACTAAGAGCTTATGTGTCTGGCATAACGAAACAAAGATGAAATTGTTTATACATGTAAAAAACAGGAGTACTTGCTGTATAGTATTCATTTTCTTACCCTTAGATAGTTTCAGTACTCTTTCTCTCTTTTTTTCAACCACCTAACAGTTATTTCTAATGTTTCTTAATATTTGTAATTCTCAGGCTAACACTTGAATAAGCCCTTTTTTTTACTATTTAACTAGTTAACTGATTTGATGCTTTGGAGAAAACATTTTGATTTAAGCTCAAATTCTGGACCTATCCTGTTGTATTATCATAAATGAACATACAGTTAAATTCAATAATCACAATTATATGGATTAATACAAATTATGAAAGATGTAACACAAATTTAAACTTTTAATAAGGAGTGTGGGGGAAGGAAAATGCAACTGAAGCAAAACTTCATTTTTATGCTTTACTGGTTTATGTGACTTTTTTGTTTGTTTGATGGAATGATATCATGATTTGGAATACCTTTGAATAATATACAGAAAATTAAGACATGGCCAAAATATTCATCATTTTGTTGATGAATAAATATTTAATCGCTGCAGTTGACTAAGCTGAGACAGTGATGAAATTAAATCCCTTGACTAAGACTAGACTTTGTTACCTTGGCTAATATTATTACTGAAATTAAAAATGCAGACTAAGTTAACAATTGTCAGAAGTAACGTTTTAAATGCATTTCTAATAATGTGTATTATGGATCATTTCTTTGATTTTATATTAATACACTCCTTACCTGTTATTTGATCCCATGAATTTTGGTAGTAGTGTGGCAATTGCATTTGAATAATAAGTCAATGTGTTTCAAGGTTCAAATAATCAGTTACTGTAACTCTGAATAAATGTAGTCAAACTGTTAGTTTAAACACACACAAAAATTTGTTTTGCGTCTAGATATAACGAAGGAGTTTAGTATGTTTGTTTTCATAGTCAATTTTTTCCAAAAGAAATAAACAAAACAGTGTAATAGTTTTCTCTGACATGTTACAGTTCTGAGTTGTACAGGTGTCTGCTTGTTTGGTAGATATGGGTAACTTTTAGGCATTCTATAAAAAAATCACCTTAAAAGGTTGGTCATTTCACCTCCATTTTACACCAGAAGTATGTATGTGGTTCTAGAAAGAAAAAAAAAGCATTAGTGGTTTAAGTTATAGAGGGGTGTAGTACAAGTCTGTACCATGCATTAACTACCTTCCTCTAATTAATATGTAAGTTTTTTCTAAATTATTATTTCCTAGTCCCCAGTTAGGACACAGTGAGGTGCTCATATGAGTCACTCAAATTTTCCTTTCTCATGTGTGCATAGCATGAGTATTTATCAATTTGCTGTTATCCATATTATTTTATGAGGAAGATAACTTGTAATGTTGTGAGACAGTTTTTGTGTGTGTGTGTGAATCGAATAATAGCCAGGGGCTGCCACAATCTTTCTGCCCAGTATGCTCTGAATGCATGGGCTGCTCACAGACCACAGAGCCATGTGCAAGTCTGGTTTGTTTAATGTTTTTGTATTTAAAACCAGGTTTTCCTTGAGTAAGTTGTGGAGCAGTGGAAAACATCTGTGTCATTTGTGAGTCACCCTAACAAGTTAAGAGCCAGACATGCAGTGCCTCTTGTGATGAGTGCTACCACCAAGAGGTTTTTTTCTGCAACTAGATAAGATGTTGAATATTTTTGAAAGAGACTGGTGATCAGTAGTTGCCCAGTCCCACTGAGAGTTATGAGTGAGGTGCAGTTAATGGATGAGCTCCATCAGCAAGTCATTTGACTAACAGGTGATATGGCAAAAGCTCACTGGTAAAGATGAGGAGGACAATCAGGTACAAGATATTGAACCTCTCCCTAAAGAGAGATGACTAATAGCTGAACCAAGAATCAAGGGCAAGATGTCATTTGGTGGATGGCAGCCATCAATATAGTTATATTATTTGCAATACAGTGAGTACCTGCACCAATGACAATGAGGTGTGGTGTAAGAAAGACCCCTTCAAGAAGGGAAGTGAGTTACTGAAGTAACCACAGGTTGTAGGGCAACTAGGGGTCCAGAAAGACCCATATGTATGAGATGTTCAGTGACCCCAATATTGAGAGATGACGCTCACCTAAGTGTGGAGCTCTTAGATCCTGCTAACTCAACAGCACCCTCATCATTCCAAACTGTCCTGTCTGAGATGCATCATGGACCTGTCCATCATTGATCACATTAAGACCATGGTTGATCATGTTGGAGGTGAAACAGGTCAATCCCTTATGTTCAAGAGGGAACAAAGGAAGACCTGTATAATGTTTTAAGAAGGTTCCAGCAAGTCTCAGGAGCATACAATTCAATGAGTAGTCTAGAACCTAGACAGTCCAACACCTAATGCTATTAAGTAGCTAACTAACTGGTACAAAATTATGTCCTAGTTGTTCTGACCTTTATGCCCAGTGGAGAACCAATCTGTCTGCTAGGTTGAATTCAAGGTTTGTAAGAGAACTTGGGTGCCTTTGTGGATTACTTGCATGGTAAAGCATACCCTGCATCCTCCTCAACAAGTTCATTAGGGAACAGCTGAGTAAGACCACGAGGTATCACTTGAGCATACAAGATATTCATATCTTGACTGAGGGTATCATTGGTGATGATGTTTGAGGTCGTTACTTCAGACAAATCATTGAAAAAGAGGAAACTGATGTCAGCAACTGTTAAAGCATCTCTGATTAAAACTCACTCTGCTAAAGCTGGTGCTCCATTTGACTCAGACTTTGCTAAGAACAGAACCACAAATGTCACCTCATGGTGTCATGCCACATGCAGGCTGGTATCCAGCAAACTAGCAGGGCTACCCAGCTCATTCGAGGATGTTTATGCCATAACAAATCCAGCCAATGACTCCACATGAAGGTACGTCTCTGACTATATCTAGGCCACTTCAAATATAGGATGAAGATCTTTGTTTATGACCTCAGATCTGGCATTGGTCATGCTTGGTATTGGCATACTGCAGAAGCTCTGTTAACTTCTAAACTGAGTTTTAGTGGGAAATCTATCTAGTGCCAGTCGTAACTGAACAAGAGACAGTTGGTTGCTCTTCTGTACGTTGTGAAAGGAACAGTAATACCTGTGTGTATATACAAGTGGTGTCTGGTGGTGTTACGTAAACAGTTCGAGTATGCCAGTGCTATGCAATGTGGCTGTTTAACTAATGTATGAGACACTGTCTTCTGTTTGGAAACCAGGCAGCAGTAGCATGGATAGGGATCTGTCCATTGGACAGCAGATTTTCTATGCTGTTCTGCAATTATGGATGGTTGGCTGTTCAGCTTCCTGCTGTAATGGTCGTTGGAGCAACAAGAGAAGTGAATGTGATTATCAGCTTTAACATTAGTATTTCTTCTGTTGTTAGTTAAGGATTGCAGCAGCAGTCACATGCTATCAGATATAGAAACAGGTGAGGTGAGTCCTATTAAACAACTGTCATGCTGGTTTACCTGGAGCATTAAGGATAAAGCCAGCACCGAGATAAAACAGATGTTAATAGATGGACTAATATAATTTTTGTAAAGTATGTGATTATCTCTAGTGATGATTTTAAAAAAGAAAGATGGTAGTAAGACGTTTTATATTGATTTCTGGCAGGTGAATGCCATGATGCTCATTGGTGCCATTCTATTATAATGAGCATAAGAATGTCTAGATGCATTAGAAAGTACCCAGTGGTTTAGCACTCTAGATCTGGTCCTTGGATAGTGGCTAGTTGAACTGTATGATGAAAGTAGAATCAAAAGTTCTTTTAATATACAGGATGGTTAGTTTGAGTTTTGAGTCATGCCATTTGGCTTGTGATGTGCTTCTGCCACTTTTGAGAGACTGATTGAGTTTATGCTTGAAGAGTTGCAATAGGAAACATGCCTAATATGTGGATGAGGAACATTTGAATCTGCTGTTATGGACCTGTCCATGTTTTTAAGGTGAATAGGAACTGCAGGATCAAAGTTCAAACCTAGGAAGTGTGCACTCATGTACATATCAGTAGAGTTTTATGGACACATCTTGAGTAGAGAAGGCATCTTGGCCGACACTTGCAAAGATTCCAGAGGTTCAGACTATCACAAAACCTAGATGGGAAGTTCAAAGTTTTTGTGGGTTCAGGTTTTATTATTACATTTCATTGGCAATTTTTGAAGATTGTCACACCAACATCCACTCTCATAAAGCTGATGAGCCTTTCAGGTGGACCAAAGAGTTTGGGCATACAATCCCCTCCTTGAAGCATGCTTTAGTAGAAGCTTCTGTCCTGGCATATCTTCAGCAGGATTATGAGTTCCTTGAATACTGATGATGGTGATAGTGGAGATTGAGCAATGCAGGATAGGGCTGATTATAGGCATTGCATGATGAAGAAAAATCTACTTGGAGTTGTAGTATTGATGAAATGCTACCAAGAATACTTGTATAACAGAAAGTTCATACATCAATGAAGTGGCTTATGAACCTTAAAAATCCAAAAGGTATAATCACACATCAAATCACAAAGTTGAAGGATCTGTAACTTTCTGTATGGTGAGATCATGTCCACCTGTTGGATATACTGATCCAGGACATTGAATTGAGATAAAAGCCATTTTAGTTGTCATCACACAGTTCACGCAGTAGGCAATTTTATTGGTGACTGAATACCGAAACTTACCCCTCAATAGCTCTGATAAAAGCAGTTGAGAGACCCAGAACTGACGTGGACACTTCTTGCCATGCAACAAGAGACACACATGAGCAATTGAGAGACCCAGAACTGACATGGATACATCTTGCTATGCAACAAGAGATGCACATGAGCAATTGAGAGACAGAGAACTGACATGGACACTTCTTGCTATGCAACAAGAGACACACATCTAGCACAAGTTGAGAAACTGAGTTTAGTTGCATACAAGCTTTTATATCAATCTTGTCAACCACCTTGATGTTGGAATCAACCTGTGCTGCAGCTAGTGCTCCTCAACCCCAGCAGGAACAGATTCTCAAGACTATTCTTCATTTCAGGATTGGAGGTCATCAGGGAGCTATTGTTAGATCTACATCATTTTTACTGGCAGGGTTTGAATCTTGACATTCAGTGTTGATGTCAACACTGCATCATTTGTACAGTACAGAGAAAAAATGGCCTAGACAGGGCAAGTTCCATACAAAAATAGTTGATGCATCTTAATGTTAAAGAATATTTTTGTATTTCAATGTTAAAAGTTTTTTTGCATTGTTTGTCTCATTGTTTAAGGGTATTTTCATGTATTTTATTATTTCTTGTTTTTCTTTATTGTGGGAGCATAGTATGTTAGACTACTCCCAGCTAAAGGAAATGAATGAACTTTGTTAACCAGTCTTTTTAGTGCCTTGTATTGTAGTGTTGTTTTGGCTTTTGTACATGTGTGTGTTGTAAGGTAAGTAGATTTACTGGAACCAGGATGAGTTATTTTGGTATTTTGAGTGACAAGCAATTAAAGTTTGATTTTTTAAAAATACTATTAGAAATAGGGATGCTCATGTGGGCCTGGAAGGAAAAGGAGATATGTGATACAGGGCTGTTCCATGCTTTTGCTCTCCCTATAGTTAATATTATTGTTTTTTATAGTTCTCAATGTGGATGCAGTGAGGTGCTCAAGTGAGTTACTCATCTTACCCTTTCTCGTATTCAATAACTGGCTATTAATCGTGTACTGTTACAAGATAGATAACTTGTAATGTTGTGAGAGAGACAGCTATTTTTCTTGTTGGCAAATTGCATGATATTTAGGGTTAGCACACCCTTTGTGCTTGGTACACTGTGAATGTATGAGCCACTCATTGAATGTGGGTCTATGCACAAGCCTAGATTTTTCATATGTTATTGTATTTAAAGACAGGTTTTTCCTGAGTAAGCAAATTTTGTAAAATTTGGAGATTTTAGCAGACTTTTTCCTTTTAGCTTTTAGACTCAACTTGGAGAGCTTTAAGATATTTTAAGGAGTTTACAGAACTCTAACTTTTTTTTGGATTTAACACTTGTTTGTAGTAACTTTGCACTTTTATTTTAACATTTTTAGAAATGAGCTTTGGATTTTTAGTAGACCCTTTTTAAGGAAGTTATTGTTTTCTTAAACATATGACACATGGGAAAATATGGTTTTGCTTTTGTGTAAAAGTAAAAGCGATGCTACTGGATGAAACATTAATCAAGGTTCATTACCCAGTTGTGAGTTTCAGAACAGTTATTGTTTAGGAATAATATTTAGATAACCAGCAATCAGAAATGTCAAAAATCGGGCATCCAGTGACTTTTCTTTTAGCTAATTCAATTGTTGCTCCTCCATAGGTAACCATTTTGGTAGACTACAGACTCGGGTGGTTTTCATTACTGTTTTCACACAGTGATACGATAGTTTCTGTTGTTGTTAATGTCGTGGTTTTTCTTTTTAATTGGCCAAAAGTTTCTGCAGTGATACAGTAGCATGGTTGTTGAGAATTTCATGAGCTCTCCTGCTTCCTAAGTGACTCCTTAGAATATTTAATAATAGTTGTATACTTCTTACAAACAAAATTCTTCTCTGAACTTAAGAAAAATGCTTCCATCTGAAGAAAATTCATTACATGTTTGTTCTGGTTATTACAAAAAAACTGGTATAGTTTTATTAGTGTTTGGACTTTGACTTGAATTATGAATGGAATTTTTTTTGCAACTGTACTTGGCAAGACTGGAAAAAAAGCTTACAAACAAATGTTGGAATGAAGATGACACGTGAAAGTGTTGAAACTTACATCTATTTAAATTTAGTGTTGTTCCATATTAGTGGATTTAAACTTGACTGTAGATTGATTAACATGTTGTTTTGTATTTACCTACTATTGCTATATCTAGGCCTTCTGATTGGCATTATGACACCTGCATTGCTACTAATGTTTGTCTAGGTGTAAGCTATATAGAGCATGAGGCAAGTAATACTGCAATGATATTAATTATACTTTTAACTGCAAAGCGTTTTGCCATGAAATCATGGTTTTATGATACAAAAATATATAATCTTGATTTGTGTCTAGTATGATACAATTGCCAATATATTATTTGTCCAAATTGGGCACACAATTTAAATTTTTATGCTTCTGATGTGAGTTTTCAGAGCATTTGGCATTGAGCATTAATTAATTTAACACCCTTGTTACAGTGTGTGTGTGTGTGTGTGTCTATATAAATATATATATATGTATGTGTCTATATGTGCATATACATGTGTGTGTGTGTCTGTATTAATATATATATATATATATAGACATTGCATCTATACCATAGTAGAACTGTAAAAACTGTATAGTGAAATTTCTCAAACAAAATTATTTCAGAAGTGGTTTCAGTCTTTGATTGCCTAAATGTAAAGGAATGCATTGTACATGTTGTATACTGTAACTTCATCTGATTTTAAAAGGATGTTTATTACAAATCATCTTGTTTTTTTTCTATGTCTTTGGAACAGGTATCCAGCTAAAATAATAGCCATAGATGATGATGATTGTGAAGTTTTGGTTCATTATGAACGATGGAGTGCAAGATTTGATGAATGGATGTCAATGGATAGTCCTTGTTTGAGACCACTTCATCATGCACATACAAGGAAAGAGGAAAAAGAGCGTTCTGGAAAGCAAGAACTGGTATATTTCCCTAGAATTTTTATAACACTTACTTGTGTCTTCAGATATCATCATCCAGTCCATAATTGTTTATTGATTAAATCAGAGTGGTTGTTAATTTCAGTCACATTGGTATAAAGTGTCAATTTATCTAAAATTTCACTTTTATTATTTTCAAGACTTTGTTTTACCTCTTTAATAATAATTAATTAATAATGCCCAACTCATAACATTGGTTCAGTAGTAAGTCTGAAGGCTTATAATGCTAAAATCTGGGTTTTGCTGTCCGTGGTGGACACAGCACAGATAGTTCATTGTGTAGCTTTGTGATTAACAACAAGCAAACAAACTTAACATTGGTATAGGATAAAATATAGCTTAAAATGTCATCATATTTTATTTCTGTAGGAAGATATATAAATATATTAGTTTTTAGTTGCTCATAATTAACAAGGAGGAAACTATGATATACTTGTGTGGTAAAGCCTCAAATTTACGACATTTATTTTAGAATATATCCTTATTTCTTTATAGCAAGACTTGTGTCATTTAAAGTCTCTCATTTTTATAAAAGTTTGTACAATATCTGATTTCATAGGAAGCTTAATATTTTCGGCAGTACAAAATCTAAGTAACTAGGTGCTTATGTTATTTCAAGCTTCCAGCTATTGTTAAATAATGTAAACTATCAAGCACTTTTCAGTAGAATAAAACTGTTAAACAGTTAAATACCTTGTTCTGCCAATTGAGGGGTAAATAGTAAAAAATTGTAAGTTTCGGTAGGTCCACAGTAATAACTGTGCTAAAGTAATTTTGATTATAAAATTTAATGTGCACTTAAGTTTAATATAAATAATAGGACATAATTAAATTTGGAAACTTGGCTCACTTGATTCATATGTTCAGATATCATTTTTTATGTTACTGAAAAATACAGAATAACTAAAAACCTTTTTTTTAAATATTTGTAAACACTAACATGATTTAATGTTATATTTTGATCTATTGTATTTCTTTAACCCCCCTTACTTTGGACAGGTCATACAGTGTACATCATGATGTTTTAGAAAGTTATTTTCAAAATTTAATAAATAGCTTTATTATCAATGAATGTCAGTAAAATTCCCATCAAAACATAGTTTATAATTCAAATTTTAGTATTATATATATTTTGATTTCTTAATTTGAAAGAAAAATATTAAAAACAAAATCCTTAATATCCTTTTTTGTGTGTCACATGGTATGTCCGTTTGTCTTATTTGTCAGTTTATATTGTATTGAGCCTATTATTATTATCAATGAATGTCAGTAAAATTCCCATCAAAACATAGTTTATAATACAAATTTTAGTATTATATATATATATTGATTTCATAATTTGAAGGAAAATATTAAAAACAAAATCCTAAATATTCTTTTTTGTGTGTCACATGGTATGTTCTTTTGTCTTATTTGTCAGTTTATATTCTATTAAGCCTACCATACAATGTTAGTAGTGATGGTTGGAGATGGCTTGAATGGGTAATGAAGAAAAACTTTACCTGATGATGACAAAACCTTGTCGAAACGTTGTACATTTGCTGTTATGTTAAACTTATTTTAAAGTTTTTCTTCATTACCCATTCAAGCCGTCTCCAACCATTATTAGTCTCAAAGTGGGTTCCTTGTCATTGAAAATGTCAGTAGAGGTTAACAAATTAGAAACTAAAATTTTAGACATTAACAAGCTAGAATATAAAATAAGAACCTCCCACCTTTTTGATTTGCTGAGATATTAATAACATGCTTGTTTGCTGTTGACAATGTCATATCAACAGTCTAATGGCAGGAGTGGTGATTCATTGCTTTATGTTTGATAGGTTTCTACTTCAGCTGCTAACAGTAAAATAAACATAGGAAATAGATGTGAAAAAGTTAGAAGTATAAACTCTCAAGAGAAGTACTTTGAAACTTCATGGTCACTACTAAAAAAGGATAGAACAGTACGACTCATTTTATTTCACTTTTTTTTTTAGTGATGGTTACAAGTTTGGTCAAATTGACCAAATGCATATGGAGTTAGGGTAGAGAAAATAAAAAATAAAGTTTTAGTTAAGAAAAACGTTTGATATCTATGTAGGAGGTTTTAGAAATTACCCAAATGAAATTTTATAATTTTCTGAAGAAGAAAAGTATTTTTAATCTTAGATTGAAAATCACTGCACTCAAAGCAGTCAACACTCTTACTCCTTATATATTCATGTACAAATTTTTAGTAAAAATACTTAATTAAAAATTTTTATTTTTTTGTCTAAAAAAGACTAGTAATGTTTACTAAAAGCTTGAAAAATTTCATGAAGATGTACAAAACATTGTTAAAAGTTATAGTATGGAAAATGAAGGTCACTTTGGGGTTACATGGTTGGTGTAATCCAACAAGGCTGTTGCGAAAGGGTTAACTTGAGTGAATTAATTCTTTTTTTTGCTACTTGAGGTGTAATTTATGCAATATCAGTAATAATCAACAGAGATCTATAATTGAAGCCTTTAACAAACCTTGTCAGTCCTTTATTAATGAAGAACCCATTATCGTTTTATGTTAAAGTTATATTAGCTACTGTTTGTTTTGAAGTCCAGATCAAAAAGAACTGACTTGCAAAACCAGCAGAGAAATTGTAGATTTTTGGCTGTAATGGACTGCTCTTTCCTGTTTTTAGAGTGACACAACATTTTGGCTTCTATACTATCATTAATGATTGTGGGTTAATTTCAGCACTCTCTCATTAATGTTTGTGAATTTTCTGAGTATAATATGACACTTATACACTACCCTAGTAGTTCGTTGTGTAATTTCAGTAAAAGTGTAGTTTATCAGTTTTTAGACAATCACTTTTTCTCAGCCTCAGTTGTCACTGTGTGATCTAATTGCCCAATATCTCAGCTTTGAGAAGACGTTGACTACTAGTTTAAACATAATGAAACCATGCTTTATCATTTTGTGCTTCATCTGTAGTATGATAGGAAGAGAAATGTTTTTTTTTTTGTGGAATAAGGTGATGTAGTTCTAGTTAAATCATTTTGCACTTGGCCATATCAAGTTTTGTTTCATTGACAAGGCTGCTGTGTTAAGCTTCATTTGCATTAGGCTATATCAGGCTTAGTAACTGCCTGAATGGGTAAAGAAAATCCCAAAAAATAAATGTGAAATGAAATATATGAAAGAATATAAAATATATTTAAAACTTATTACATGTATTAAATATAACCTTCTGATGAACAATTTACAAAAAAATTTACTTTTAATTTAGAAACCTATGGTAAAAAGTATTTATTGTATACTAGTGATTGTAAACAGAAAATTGTGTGCATTGTTTTTCAAATAAAAAAGATAAGATTTACACTTTTATGGAATAATTACTGTAGGAAGGTTTTAAAAGAATGTAGGGAGACATAAAGACCAATAATTAAAATCTTTAACAAAGGTAAACATTTTTATTTCTTAAAAAAAATATATCATAATAAATATTTTCCAAATTTCAAAGCTGTGAATTCATACAAATTTCACATATAAAATAAGATATTTCACTATTTCATCCAGTAGTTTTTCACAATGCAATAAAACAAACCATACACTAGATGAATCAAATTTAATGCACCAGGGTCTCACAGAGTTAAGCATATTGGATATTTCAAACATAGTAGACCTGTCCATTAAAGACTAAATATTGTACAAATATTAAAAATTATTGACATTCGGCTTAATATCTGTTTTTTGTTTCTGCTTTGTGAATCACTTGTTTTAAATAATTAAAACATATTCTCTACATATTTTTTTATAACTTTAATAAGTAGGTTGTTCAATTTATAAATAAAAAATGGTATTTTTGTGTTAATTTTTTTTCAGAAACACAAAGTAGGAGATGAGGTTCTTGCAAGGTGGGCAGATAGAAAAATGTATCCAGCAAAAATTTCTGAAATTTATGATGATGGTTAGTAAGAATATATTCAATATCTAAAAATAGATTATACATTTAAACATTACACATTGGGAGTTTGGCAACTGTTTCAATTTTTAATACATGAAGCTGACACCAAACAAAAGTAATGTTAGTGCTGTATATGGCATGGCTACCTTTGCTGAATGACTGCATTCAATAGACCTGCAAGGTGAATAACACAAATGTACAAAATTCAACCATCTCTACGAAGCCAATGAAATATATGTTGCATGGGGCATGGGTACACTAAAAAAATTATGATGTAATTTAGGCATCTTTCTATAGAACAAGAAATATAAAAAATGTCCTTACAAGAAGAAGCTATGAGCCTGTCAAAATATTACAGCATATTTTCTGTCTAGTTAGGTTGAATATAGAAGTAAGAATAAGCTATAAGTGTAATTTAGTTGTAGTAATGAAATAAACTTACTAAAAATGCAATATTTAATATAGGTGAATTCTGAAACAGTCACAACTGGTCAGTTATCTGGAAAATTCTTTTAACATTTTTCTGTAGTGTTTTGCTTCTTGCACAATTATATAGATAAATTTGGGGGAAAATATTATATTGGTATCCCACTTTATTATTTTATTGTGAAGATGTATAACAATTAGACTAGCATTAAATGTACAGCATACTTTGTTAAGAGTGTTTATTTAGTGATGCACAATATACTGGATATAGTATGCATATTATGTCTTTTGTTCATATGGTATTGAAGCATAGTATTCTGTAAGCCAGTTAACATTTACAGCACAGGTTGATTCTTTTAGTATTGAAAGTAATTATGAAATTTTATTCATGCACATAACGAAGTACAGTAATTTACTTTGGGATCCTTTGGTTAAAATTGGATGTATTGTATATGCCACTATTAAACCACAAGCTATTCAGATTACTTTGACATTCTAGATCATGGTAAAAGTAAGGATAATTTTAGCTGTAATTAAATGATAAAGATAAAAGTCTAGGTAGTCAATCTTTGCAGCAATAAACTTTTGTTTGCACATTACCATAGATTGAAACAATGGAATTAAAGGTATGACTTGTTGTTTACAATGTGTGATTTTATGGCATGTGTGGTATATTCAAGTGAACAGAATGATCTTGAGAGCTATGTCAGATAAGTCTGCTAAACAGAAGATTGTTTCAAGATATAGAATTATGGAGTGAAATTATATAGCATACTAATTGAAATAAAGAGACAGAAAAAGCAACAAACAAAATGAAACACAATATTAAGATACTGAACATAAAAACTCTGTGTATACATGCTTGTTGGACTAAGGATTCAGTCAGACTGCAGGACACAAGGTCTCATACCTTTACCTTACATGGACTTAGCTTGATTTATGTCAGGTTTTACACATGGGCCAGATTCTTTACAGTAGGTGCCTGTGTCTTGTTGTGATAAATTTCAAGAATAAACAAACACCATCTAGTCCACTTATTTTAAAATAATATTAATAATAATATTACTGATACAGTAACTACATAGTATTCATTTACCTGTATATACCAAACCAAGGTATATATACAGCAGTCTGATACAGTAACTACATAGTATTCATTTACCTGTATATACCAAACCAAGGTATATATACAGCAGTCTGATACAGTAACTACATAGTATTCATTTACCTGTATATACCAAACCAAGGTATATATACAGCAGTCTGATACAGTAACTACATAGTATTCAAATATATATACAAATGTTCATTACACTGTTGGTTATTACAGTTGTGTCCAGAGCTTTAAATAATTCCAAAACATACTTACCTCCGCTGACAATATAGCTATTTCTCGATCTCCGGGGTTTCCACTCTTTGCCTTCTAAGTATTGAAAATACTTGCTCTAGTCATTTATACCCCACTTGATTGCTCTTGGCAAATTCTAATTTGCAAAATTCTCCATCAACTTCAGTGCACCCTCTATATAGGTACTGTATATTTTAAAATAAAGGACTTAACACTTGGATAAAATAAAACTTCAGATCATAACACACATTATTATGTTAATTTCTTTCACATACATTGATATTAAAAGTGTTTAATTAAATTTTGAATGTAACACAGTGGCTTGTGCAGAAAAGGGTTTAAAGGGTACCCATCACGAAAGGATTAATATGTTTTTACCAAGTACTTTGCATATTTATTTATAAAAATATAAAGATTGAAAAGAAACTTTTAGTTTTTTTTATCAGAGTGGGTATCTCTGTCTAGCTGTTAATATGTATAAACACTGTATACGTGTAATAGTAAATTAATAAGATGCAGTTTTGAATGCTACATTTTTTCATCTTGTGTTATAAAATTAAATGCTTTTGAATGAGACTGAATATTGAATAGTATCAAAACTATAACTTTTACTGCACAGTTAAAAACTAGAAGGTTCTTTGTTGTAGTATGTATAGGATCAAATAAAATCTTGAATGTACAATGGAGTCCTGCAAAGAATATTTAGTGTTTTCTTAATTATGTTCTATTTTAGGGACTTATAAAGTATTGTTTTATGATGGTTTCCACCGCAAGGTTCAGCCAATCAATGTTCATAAACTACCACCTGAACTTGTTGGTCAAGTGGTAAGTTAATTTTAGTTAATCTTATTTGCTGAGAAATTAAGTTTAAAAACAGGTTAAAAGCATTTAAAAGTTTAGTTTGAGATCAAAAGGCACTGGTGTATATTGTATAGTGTTTTTTTTGTTTTTTAAGTTCTGTGTATGATTAACATCACCAGAGACAAGACTTTTCCATTGGAGTACAGATTTGTTTTTTGTTTTAAAAATAGAAATGTATTACATTATGTGTCATTATAAGTTTCACTTATTTGTCTCATATGAGTTAATTAGGTGAATTTGATGGCCTGTCCATGTTTTGGAGGTACACCTTGTTATCCCTTGCTTTCAGTATATCCTCAGCTGTAGATATATGCTTCAAATAATTGTCCTGTCAGAAAATGAAACCTTGGCTATATGAGGGTGTAGCATGACTTTGTAAAACACTGCAGTAATTCACTCTAGTTAATTTGTAGCAATTTAGTCACAAAAAAAAGCATCTCTGAAACTGTGATGCTTGGCAATAGGAAGTTTCCAGGTTATTTTATTTGTTATGTGTGCGATTGGTATTAAGATACATCTTGGTCACTGAGATGAATCTAATGTTTAAGTAAAAGTAATTAAATAAGAATTGCATTTGTATTTGTTCTATTAAATAAATTAGTCTTTATTTCTATAGGCCATAACCAAACAATTTATGAGCATACTTTACTTATTTTCATGTTGTCTTCAAAAATTATCTGCTCCAAACTTTTCAACAGTTGTTTGTACTATTACCATCTTTATTTGGCTTATTGTTGCTGTCACCCACCATATCCAATGTGCTAATTGTGGATAATAAATGTTTTGCAATTTCCTGTGTTTTTTGGAAATATTAATCTTGGAACAAGATAAAATAAATATTTTTTTAACTACTAACTTCAGTTTTAAGTGTACCAAAAATTTGTATTTTTATTTTCATTATTAGTTTTCTGTAGCACCCTTGAACTGATAGTTGCTTATTCATCACACTTACAGTGTTGATAATTAGGATTTATGGTTGTATTTATTGAAATATATAAGCTTCATGTTTAAAATGGCTGGTTTGTTCTGTTTTATTTATCATATTTGGATTTTGTTGTTTTTTTTTCATTCTGATAACAGTAGTCAAACAATCCATTCTCGTGATCATTATTACAGCATAATAAATAATTAGTAGATGAAGGATTGAAGTGTTTTTGTTAAAAGTGAATTTTGTACAGTCTAAGTTTGTGCAACATAACACAGACCAACGATGGTTTTATTGTTTTTACATGTTCTACAGTAATTTCTGGATGTTGAATCCGAAAATGATAACCATTTTTCTTCATCACATACAGATTTTTCACAAAATGTCATAATGCAATGCATAATTTTTAAAAATGTATTTGATTTACTTTTAATTCACAATATTTCTAAGTTTATAAAATATTACCCATTGCAATATACACAAACTTCACTTTTTGGTTATTTATTATTGATTCTTACCAAAGTTGTTTTTCTTGCACATTGGATGTAGTTTCTGTTTCTATCAACCTGTCTTCAATTTACAGCATATTTTTCTAAAACTATAGTTCAACAACAAAAAAAAAAAGACTTAAAAATGTAATACCGTTGAAGAGTTACTAACCAAAACATCTATAAATAATGAGGTTACTTAATAAAGAAAATTAATAACTGGCATAGCATAGCTTAATTAATAATACTCAAACACACACAAAAATTGAAATATAACAAAATAAAAAAAAATTCTAAAAAAAATTAGAGATAGCCTTCTTTACAGACATGAAGTGCGATGAATGACATGTTGTGTGGAAATAAAATATTTTAGAGATGTGACAATAAGCAGTTATTCATTAGTTACTACTGTAGAAAAGTCTTTTTGATTAACTTACATATCACTAGAAAAGTCTATTTATGATATAAAGTGTTTTTCACGGTCACTTTAATTTCTTCAAGTTGTTTTCTATTGCTCTTCAACAGTATATATATATGCAAAAACAAAACATTTAAGATATGCATTGAAAAGGAATTATACATTTAAAATGGTTAGGTTCACTTATCTGAAGTATTTTGAAGATTTAATTTGATGTTTATATGAGTGTTATTTTTATGGCATACTAAAAAGATTGAGTTCTTAACAACACCTAGTCAAAACTAAGCCAACTAAGTTGACAAGAACTAATTAGTAACTTATAAATTAATGAAACCATTCTGTGATATACTTACTCTCATAAATCAATACACAAGAAAAATAAAATCTGTAAGGACAGGAATCAAGTGAATCTTCAATTCAGTACTCTCTTTTTCTGACTGAGAAAACATAAAATCAGAAGATTAATAACAACCATTAAAGCTTTTGGATAACTTGCTGTGTTTGTAGATCTTTCCACCATCTCATCAGTTGAATGAAGCAAATCAAGATGACTCAAGTAAGTCTGGGAAAAAAACAGCAAAAGGTAAGAGTTGTTATTTTATTAAAGTTTAGTCTCCACAGTTCCTGCTGAATTGGGCATGATGATATTATCCATGCTTGTGAATGAAAGCTTTCAGTTGATGCATGAATTTCCACTATAGGTATGCTGAGGTTGATGTAAAACTGTTTGTAAATCTTTCCATAACTTGAAGTAGAAAGAAAAGCATTGGTGCACTTACTTTATTCTAAGCATGCTAATGCATTTTGAAATTTGAGTATCAGTATGTTAGTAATGAGCCTGGAAGGATCTGTGAATTCCAAAACATACCGTGTTTATAAGGTTAATACTGTAGTTTAGAGTTTCACTTAAATACAGCAATACCTCGTTTAGTGCTCAGGAAGGGTTCCTGAGAACAAAGCTCTAAATGAATCAGCTCAAAACAGAGTTATTTTAACATTACATATATGGAGGTATGTAACTGAAAGCATTGTTTCTTACCTGTGAATGATATATAAATGCTTCATTTGGTACTGGTAAATTTAATGTAAATTACTCACTGTAATATTGCCATTGCTGGAAAAAAGCAAATTTTTATTAGGCTTTAATCTTGTTTGGCTACAGAGGCATCAAATAGAAAATCAGACCCCTCCTGCCACACCCATCTGCCAGATCCTCTCTCTCAGGATTTTCAATACATGTAGTTCTCTCTTAAATTTACAACTATATTCATTATAACCAATCGACAGGCAAATAACATATTATTTTACATTGCTTTCTGTACAGAAATTTGTAGATTGCTTTCTTAGAAAATGTTTTTTTTCCCACGGAAACTATTGTGCAGATGGATGACATTTTAACAGTTCATATTGCGTCGCTAGAAATGCCAGAAAAATTGTGATAGTTACGGGACATTGTCTGCTTTTAGAATGTTATTATTCTATGTTCTTTGTTGCATTATTTTATCAATAAAAATTATTAATTATTTAGTGTGAAAAAGTAGTGTTCAGAGAGTTATGGATTTTCCTAATTGTTTTTCTCTCTCATGAAAAAAAAATTCTCTCAAGGAGACAAGAGCTCTATAATAAATCAGCTTAAAGTGGGATGGTGCTAAGCGGGGTCTTACTGTATAGTGTCTGTGACACACATGATTTTTATAGGTTCCTAGAAAGACCTTGTGATTGGCATGTCTGTACTTTTAGATTAGTACATGAGTAAATGTTGTTTCACACACTAATTCCCTAAAATGACCCGTATTTGTGTTAGCAGAGAACTAGAAGTTAATTTGAAGAACTGTCTCAGCATGTTAACTAACTACATCAATGTGGCAGATGAGTTTTAAACAGTCATTATGTCTCGTTAAAAGCTAATAAAAATGTCACTAAACTGTAACAAAGTTGAAAAATTCTTTGTAACCATTCTCCAGAATAAGATTACTTTAACTCTAAACTTACCTATTTTCAACACACTATGTGGGTCCATTACTTTATAACATAAAAGACACAAACAATAAAATGTAAAAAAAGTATGCCATCAATATTTCAATTAATCTCACTTATAGCTAGATAGTCCCCATGTATTTAACATAAAAAATGAACAACTTCACCCTAATTTTGGTCAGTTCTTTATATTGATTGTTGTAATAGTCAAAAACATAAAATTACAGATACAGAGTGAGACAGAAAATAATTTATGCTTAATTTGTTTAACTTGTTACAACACTGGTTGTGTCTACAAAATCAGAATTAAATACTGATACTTAAATATTTGACTTATTCAGCTTATTAGTTTGCAGCAGCATGAAAAGAAGCCATAAGAAGAACTGCCTGTAATAAATTATCTGACTTTAATAGGTTATTAATTTTGTTTTTAACAGTCTCAAAGAAGTGTATAGAAGGAGAAAGTAAAACAGCACCTGTGAAGAAGGCTTCAAATGTATCTAAGGAAAGTAAGCCTACAAGCATGAAGAAGAAGAAGAAAACACATGTTAGTATATAAGCACATTCTGATCTTGACTGTATGAAAATCTAAACACGTTTTCAGTGAATGAAAAATGTAGTGTCATGTGCACATGAATTAAAAAAAGGAACAAATTTTATGTTGTGAGGTATGAAATGAAAAAAAAATGTTTAGTTTACAAGGTTAATTTGACTCTACTAATGGTTTGTTTTGCTGTAATGATGATACAAGTGCTAAAAAACTTTATGAAATTTAATCATTGGAAGATGAAGTTTCTTTTTATAGTGGTGTTATTACTTTTTCATTAGATGGTGCTATTCTGGATTCTATTATGGAATTTTTGCAAGTATTTTAATGCAAACAAGAGCTTAATATGAGTTATGCATTAGTTAAAGTTTACATGTATCTTGTAAAATTAACATCATAAGATTTTTTCAAAGAACCTGATTTTATTGACTCGTAATGTTTATATGTCAGTTCAGCTTTCAATATTTTTATTTCATGATATATTGTATGATATGGCCCTTATAGAAAATCTGTATGTTTTATAGGAATTTGAAGTTGGAGAAGAGGTTTTTGCAAAATCTAAAAATGGCAAAATGTATCATTCCAAAATAATAAAACTACTGGAGGATGGTGAGTAAAGTGGAATTATAGTTTTTTTTAATTTGCTCTCACTCATAATATAAAGAAATCATAGTTGTATACTGCAGCTATTTACTATACATTAAAAATGTATTGTATGTTTTTTCTTAAAATGTTAACAAGCAAGATGAATAATTTGATTCAGTTGAGAATTTGTCTTAATGTATATTGCCCTGTTTAATTACATTTAATTGTCAGAATACAATAATATCATGTTGTTAAATTAGACTCTGTTTTAACTCAAGGGGATCTATATTCCCACCACCACCACTACAATGTTAAGATGCTTGGCCATGGTATCTGAGCAGTTGTGTCAAGTTTGGTCCTGCTAGCTAATGAATGGGGGTATAAACACAGTTTCAAACATGGCATCCCAGAATCCTGAGAAGGGCCAGAAACATAAAATATGGTGCTAGATGTGGTGGGGTCAGTGACCATGAAAACTACTCTTAGACCACTATACCTGGGTGACCTTTTCTGCATGTTTTAGCCCCTCTTGTTATCCCCTTGGTAGATAAGCTAATCTGTATGGCTAAGAACACCCTCTGGGCCACATTGAGCAAGTTCGGTGCTACTGGCTCCATAACTGTGGGAGTTCATGGACAAACGAATAAGTAAACACAGTGTTTATTAATATCTTATATATATTGTGAACTGTGGTGTCTATCAGAGTGTTTGTCTGTCTCCCCTTTTGAAAAGCTTTGTATGCAGGTAAAGCTCAACAATCACTTTTGAAATGATGGGAGAATAGACATAAATAATGTTGATGCCAAATTTTATTTTGAAAGTGGATATTCTAAACTAAATTGTTAGGAATTAATCACACTATCATTCAAATTTCAAAATGTGACGTAACTTAAAGAATAAAAATGTAGATTTACCGTATGTTATTGTTGCATGGCTCTTAGCATGACTGAAATGCTCAACAATTACTTTTTGTGGTAGGTGTTATAAATATCCCAGAGCTTTGCTCTGAGTGAATCCAAGAGTGCAGTACAATTAACCTTTTTAAAGTCCATGAAATAAATTAAATTGACAGATTAACTTAAACTTTTCCCATCACTGGGGATGGGTACTTTTTCTTGTAGGATTATAAGTTAAATTAGTGTTAATTAAATATGAATTATGAGAAAATAATGAAACATTACTTTGTAATATGCTCTAGTATGCAGGTCTGGATAATTTTTAATTTTGCCTGGGAAATGAGCAAAAATTAAAAGAAGATTTTTGAAAGAATGTGGTCACTCTGAGTGTTATTATATTAACATACTTTCAAGCTGCCTGTACTACTACTCAATGAATAAATTTGTGAATTTTTACTGTTACTGTAAGTTAGTTATAATTGTACCAAAAAATGATATTTTTAAGTTTATTTTCTAGTGTAAGAGGGATTTAATGTATTAATGTAAAGTATTGAATAATATAATTTATTCATTATTTGATCAGGCTGTTACAGTGTCTTGTTTTACGATGGAACTCAGAACAAAGTTAATGCAAATAATATTCAGAAGTTGCCACAAAAGTTAGCAGAAGAAATGGTAAGTGAGAGCTGTGAAACCTGTGTGTGTGTGTGTATCATTCTTCTGAGTTTATTGTTTATAGCCATAAATGGTGACTAATGCAAGTGGAAAAATAAAGCACCAAAATAAATGTGTTTTGAAAATCAATCAAGTTGAAATTGATAGGATATATAAAATGGAACTTTGTGATCAACTATAAAAAAGTTTTTAATCCAAAGGTAAAAGGAAGTATTCTATTATTTCTTTCAAAATGCCTCCTAACAAAATTTTAGAAGTTTAACAAATAAAAGAATGATAGAAAAACTATATCAAATTATATGAATTTTTTAAAACTGAAACTAGATACTATTTAGTAAATTTTTCTATAATTTTTCTAAAATTTGGTTAAGTATTCCCACTGTGAAAGAACAACAAATCAAGGGATATCAGTGATACACCTCTGATCTGGAAATGATTAAATGGTTGTAGTATAAGTTATATTCCTGTAATTCATAATATAAAAATATAATTTGATTGACACTTGAACTTTAAGTTTCCTGGGTCGATCAGTATGAAGCACTTAGTCATGAATGAGCTCTATTGACCAAAAGCAGTTATTATTGCTTTTGTTCCCAGTGTTTTGTTAGTTTAAACAGCAAAAAGAATTGTTAAAATTGAGTTAAATATAGTGCTACTGTACATTATTCTCTAGTTACTTGCATGCAAACTCTTTCTTCTCTACAATATGTAGTTGCTAATGAAAGTTAATAATATTTTATCAGCAGTTTCCTTCATATTCCGTTGAAGAACAAAGTCAGCATGTTGCAAAGATAAAAGGAGGTGAGTTATAGTTGAGAAATGTTTATTTTATTAAATGGATGTGAGCAGTTCTTAAATTAATTCTACTGTTTTAAGTATTGATGCATGAAGATAGGAGTGTGAAACTAGTATAACATCTCAGTAATTAGCAGTTATATTTTTTTGTGGTTTGCATTTAAGTTCCGTTATTTTTTTAAATGAGGTAAAATCTAATGATTTTTTTTTGCTGAAATATTTTGCAGTTTGACATTTTTTAATTGTGAAGAGGTTTAAAAGATATAGAAGGGAAATTATTCATTGGGTTTCAGATTGTTTGTTGAAGTTCATTGGTTTACATGCTTTTCTAGCTCAGACATTTTATACTGTAAAATTCATGTCTTGGTGAAACAGATTGTTGAATATTAACTCACTCAAATATGATACTGCATATCTACATGAATCTTTGCACCTCTTCCAATATATAATTTCAATGCTTTGTCTTATGAATCTGAGGCTTTCTTTGAACGTTGAGACCAATTTCTAAAAGTAAAAAAATATCCACTTTTATGAACGTGCTCAAAAGGTAATCTGTCAACTAGGTGCTTCTTGAAAAGTTACTCTTTCTTTTACAGTGGTTTTATTAAGTTGTCATCCAGACATTATTTCTTTTAGATTATAAGCTTTTTTTATAATTATTTACAGGGAATGTAATTGTGATTTATATTTAGCAAAACGAATTAATTCGTGTTTAAAATAGTGTTACTGGCCCTGTATGGCATATGGAAATACAAGTAACATTAAATATTTGAATAACTATATGATATATAACATATTGTTTAAAGTACTACTAATTGTTTGACAAGCAGCTACTAGTTTTTGCTCTATTTTACTATCATATGATCTGGAGTAGTAGCATTTCAGTGTTGCATTTCAGACAGCATGAAAGGAATCCTATTTTTAATGCTTTTTCGTAAATGTATTTATGAGAAAAATAATGATACATTACTCTTAAAGTTGAATGATTTATGTTTATTTTGTCTTCAAAATATAAAAATCTTAAAAATTGTTATGTTTTATTGAATAAAGCCAACTTATAGTTTAATTGAAACATAGCAGCTTACTTGAAACTTAACAGCTACTATACTGTAGCTTCACATCACGGTTAGTTGAATTTTTTCTAATGTGATTCGTTAGTTTGTTTTAAAATTTGTTCTTAAATCAACCAAAATCCTTTGAGCTGTGGCAATGTATTTTTGTCAAATGACTCTTTCTATATTACTAAAAATAAAAACCTATATTATTCATATAGCAAAGAAAAATATGTTGTTGCACAAAAAGCCTTATTTGGATTAGATTTCTCAGTATGAAATAATGTTTAAGAACATCTTATATATAAACAAGAATTAGTTTCAGAATAAAAACATGATGTAATTCTTTGTAGACAGTTTGTTCATATAAGATCAAATAGAAACGTTAGAGATAAAAGACTTTGGGAATTATTTTCTTAGATATCACACTAGTGACAATTTTCAACACTGAGGCAAGCGTGTAATCCAACAAAATACTTGTTTACATTGAGGCAAGCGTGTCATCCCACAACATACTTGTTTACATTGAGGCAAGCGTGTCATCCCACAACATACTTGTTTACATTGAGGCAAGCGTGTCATCCCACAACATACTTGTTTACACTGAGGCAAGCGTGTCATCACCCACTACATACTGTTTATAAATGCTATTAAGTGTAATGTTGATGAACATATTTGATTTCTCTGGAATTATTCTCATTCACCTGTTGTTGTCTTTGGAGGTGTTGGCTTTCCATGGTAAATTTTTCTTTGAGAGCATTGGGAGTTGCTTTATGATAAGTTTGGCTGTCATGTTTCTATTTTCTGTATCTTAATTTTTGAATGTATTAGTACAGTGGTAAATCTTCGGATTTACAGTGCTAAAATCAGGGGTTCAATTCCCCATGGTGGACACATCAGATAGCTTGATGTGGCTTTGCTATAAGAAAAACATAAACAGACTCTTTTTAATGCACTCAGCCTACTTAAGGATTTTTCCTTGAGAATCTGTCTTGAATATTCTTCACTTTTAAATACCTTTGTCTTGTGGTTACAATCTGTTTGTCTGGCTTGTTATGTTCTTCTATACCTACTTCTTTTATTTAGTGCTGGTCTAGTTTTTTTTACTATTGCTTTCTGATTTTCT